AGATTTAACCCTAGTTGTAAGGAAATTTGTCGACGTTAGATGATCTATTCCACCTCTGCTGTGATATTCATAATTTGTTATTCTAGTTAGTCTGTATCCTTTCAACTGCTATGTTAAAAGTGCATTAATTTGTTAAATCTTTTTCTGTTATATCTAATTGTTTATCATTAAGCACAACCTGTGCCGCTTAAGTATGTGTATAGCGATGTACCCTTCATCAAGATTGATATGTATGAAATATGATCGATATGTGAGTCAGTATCTTTCTATCTGCAGTAGCTTGCAGATACTTAAGAAATTTATTGAACTCTACTTAATAAACCAGAACAATGCCGCGGCATGATACATATGGGTCGAATGCAATTTTGAGATGAATGTATCTATTACGCACTAATGGTTCTAATTCTATTAACGTTTAGAATTGTTTTCTAAATTGGATCACCTATTTTATATCATTTTATAATAATATGTTTTGTTCGTTTCTTTGCTGAGGAAATTTTAGTCTCTATCCAGGGTCGTTGTAATTTATTTTTATTTTTTCGGAAAGTCAAAGATAGTAAAGAGTTGTGTTTTTTTATAATTTTATTATTTCATTAAAAACTAGGATATACCAAACAATATATAAGAAATGTTTATTTATGTTGGTTAGTTGTTTGAATGTAAAGCTATTCCCTCTTGGAAACTATGAATTTGTTAGAAAAAACCGGCCCTTAATTATCGTGAGTCTATGGCATTGTCCCTCGTAACCATTGTCTCTGCTTTTTATACGCTCGTCGGTGTAAGACGTTACTCCTTTTGTAAATTTTGGAATTAAAAATTGAATTATTGCTTTACTGAATTGTATAAAAATTTAAGACATAACATGGTCTTTATTTAGATATTTACAATCTAAGACAAATAACGTATATATCTAAGCTCAAACGTATAACTTCCTAAACTATAATATAATAATTATGTTTCTGCGCCTAAAAGCCCAACTAAAATAATTCTAGACTATTTATAAAACTCGTAATTGTTGTGAGCTTGATTTTACTTACTTGATATGGGACCAACATTCCGCTTCCAAAGTAGTCAAATCTATGTCTTGTAGTCGCTGGGCAGTTGCAAAAAACATCTGATGTTTCGCTCTCCACATGACGGAGTCGACGTCGACAGGTATCACTTTCTCCTGCAACTAAATTCTTCATGTGGTAATTAAGTCTACAGTGTCCTGTAAGAAGTTTAGCGTAGAGTTTAATATCATTACTGCTATGGTTAAGGATAGTGTCAACATTGATGTGTGCAGGATTAATGAATTTGTACCATGCCTGTTTGGGGTCTCCAGTGTTTAAGTAGATTTCGTTTCTCCCGTTCGCATATTTAGTTATTTGTAAAGCTATTTGTTACCCCACAAAATGGTTCTGAACCAATGAAAGAAGTATATGCATATAACTGTCTTGATTCGACTATTTATATTTATTCGAACGTATAAGTGCCTTAAATAACCCTATGAAATACATTATGATGTACTCGTCCAAGTCGTAAGATCTATTACACCTTACGTACTTGTGATGTCTTTAAAGAGCGGTGCAGGCTATCATTTTTAAATGTCATTCAAATTGCGCTCTCTCTTGCTCAAATTTTTTCTAGCGACCGTCCTTGAATATTCTCACATTAAAGAGTTATCATTCAATCAAAATGTTTGAAGAAGAAGGTGTTTGAGCACGCTGTAAGTGTGTTTGGCTGTAGGTATATATTTTATCGTATCGAAATATGTATTTGTTGTTGCAGATATTGATATGTGTTACAATGGAAATAAACAACTTGTTGCAGAGACGTACGGAAAAGGTACCATCAATTTTTATAAAATAAAAATAACTGTTTCCCATACGTACCTTATGTAAAGAAATACCTCTGAGTCACGTCCTTCAATATCTTTCGTAACATACTGCAATAAGTGATTTAAATATATAATGTTATCCCAAAAAGGGTGATTTGTGTGGAAAATGTGGTTAATTACGGTGTATTATAATTTTAATGTATAAATTACTACACACCATATTAGCCGAATTAAATTTATATTCATTTATATCATTTACAATTATATATAAAGAATTTGTATGGGTATGAAGAACTTGAAGTTTATAAACTTCATACCCCATAAAGCACATAAACGGCATTCAATTTTCGTATTCAAATTAAAGAAGAATGACATTCATTTTTAAATTTTCTATGATTTTGCATAAAATGAATATAGAAAAAATTATTTTCCTATTTATTAAATAATTTTTTTTTGTTATAATCAAATTGAATTAAAAATTGTTCATGTGAAAAAATTGCTTAAAAAGCGTGAATGTGTTTCTGACTTAAATCCTAAATTTTGATCGTTGCAGGACTTAAACCTATTCACACAATTTTTATTCTATATTTTTTTTTAGTTTTGAAATAATTCATTTACTCATTCATTATTTTGATAAATGTGAAGGAACTATGGGAGCTCTAAAATAATAGAAAATTGGTTAAAACCCTAACATTATCATATGTCATAAATTGGTTGAAAGGGATTACTTATATAGAAGCAATTAAAAATATATTTGATTTATATAATAAAAAAAATTGCATACTTTCTACAAATATTTTATGTTTTAATTAAAATTGTAATTAAATTAGTAAAATTATTTTTTAATTGTTGTAATTCGTATACAATTTTTTCACTGCAAGTACTAAGGATAGAACTTGCATTCAGCCAACTTTAAGTCGCATATTCACACATTCTAAACATTAACCCAATGGCATACTTTGTTAATTATGTTGAGTCACTGCTATTGAAGCTATTTGAGTCAGTGCACTTGAGCACTTTGACTCTTTCTTAACTCGAGGTATTTACAAACTGGATTATTGTTTATCACTTCATCAGACTAAGCAATAAATGACCTAAGATCAGCATACCTCCCTGAGGAGCCTGTAACCATTCTGAGATTTGATAACGCGGTGTTGGTAAGTCTGTCAATTTTCGCAAATAATTTCAGGACTCTATCCTTTATGTATTTTTTAATGGGATCAATCTTGATATCCCTGAGGATATCATTCGTTCTAATGTACCATGGTACTTTGAAAAGTCTTCTCAGAGCCTGGCTTTGTGCAATTTCTATCTGGCGAATAATAGTATTTGATGCTTTGCTAAACACTACACAAACATATAGAATTGATGGACGAATTATTTGGTTATATATCAGTTTTCTGTTCTTAGCATTGAGATTTTCATTTCTGAATAGCGGTTGTTTAGTTTGCCATTAAATGAAACTAACTAAAATACATTTGCAAATCGCAATAAGCCAAGTTATTTGATTAAATAACAATACAAATTATTTAACCCTTTCAGGAGTTATTGAAACTAATTTCAATAATTATTTTATTTCTGGAAATCAAAGAAATCATTATAGTTTAAGTCTGCATTTTATAAGGAACAAAATTTTTGTATTTTCTTGTAATATTTTTCGATCACATTATTCAAATTTTAATGTTCTTTATACACATAATGTGAAGGAAACCCCATTAAATATATATTATATATATCACCAACTTATGAAAACTATATCGATCATAGTCGATCCTCAAACGACTAAAGACCAATTTTATTTCACGTTCCTCTTAATTCTAAATCAAGAAACTTATAACCACTGGATGCATTGATAAATAATGTATTCTAAGCTTAAAATACAGCAGTGTGAGTTGAAGGATAGCGAATCCATAAACGTGGGTCTTAATTCAGATCAACTTGTGTAGTGAAAATTGCTATGAGACAACTGTTTTACTAAAGATTTTTTGAAAGATATGAAATAAGTGATACCCACCTGTTTTGATTTTGTTGAAAAAAGCTGTTAGTTTTTCATTTGATTCCAATAAAAATGTCTAAAGTCAAAATAAAATAGGTTAAAAATTCTTGTTAATTTTCCTATAAAATAACAGCTAAGAGGAAGCTTCTGCTTTTCATTTGTTATTATTTAAAACACAATGTATATAATCATACAATATGAATACATGCTTCATTTAACTACGACTATCAAGCAGTTTTCTTATATTTTACAATACATTTTACACTTGTTAAGTTGCCAAAGACTTAGTTAGCACTACCATTTAGTAGTAATCTTAATTATTATTAGACTGCTAATTCGGGAGTAGATCTAAAGGCTTAATTCATTTAAAGCTTCTCAGCAGGCTAGATATATTAGATGGGCTATCTCGTTTGTGTGCCGTTTTAATCATTCTTGGTACTTTACCGAAAACTTTTGTATTACTGCATTTACAGATTCGATCTTCAAGTCCGGATGGAGGTCAGTATTTCTAATGAACCACGGAGCATTGACTATATTAATTAAGTCTTTGTTTTGAAAATTTTAGATAATTTAAATAAACTATTTTAGATTTGTAGAATCTAAAGAAGTCAGCATTCGGTTTATGGAAGCCATCTATTCTTCACTCACTTTTTTCTCTAATATATATTTTTTTAGAGAAAAAGTGAGTGAAGAATATATGGCTTCCATAAACCGAATGCTGACTTCTTTCGTAGCTATTCCTCATTTAATACAATTTTACTTACTCAGAGTACAAGGTTACTAACTATGCTTTGTCAAGGTTCTGGCAATATTTTTGCACATTCTCTAACTTTTGGCTAGAATGCATAAATTTTTGTTCTCAAACAATGTAGTGAGTATTTACATTAAAACAAAAAATCTTACCAAACGTTAATAGATATTAAATAAAATTTTAATAAAAGATTTCTAATGCGAAAATAGTTATGTATCCGCCCAACAACTTCCGTAAGCGATATTTAATTATAAGTTCGCTGTTTTGTGAAAAGGTGTGTTGGCTAAAGCACGCCCTCTTAATTTTTCAATTATTTTCATATTAATTCCGTAGACTATAAATATCTCTCCTGTTAAGAAATTTGCATTAAAAACACTTTAAGTTTGAATTTGTGTAATCTCATATAGTCACGATAGAGAAATCACTTTCCAAGTATGAGTTTTGATACTACACAGAAGTCACAAATATTGGGACGTATTCTGACGTTTCTGGGTTTATGGTCAACAAAAGATAAAAACAAAAATTGGAAACGTTTTCACTTTATTATAATCCATGGACCATGTACCTTCTTATATTGCACTCTAATGTGGTTGGAAGCAATTACCAGCACAGATTTGTCTCATACATTAGATGTGCTCTATATAACACTCACGGAAACTGCACTGATTGTAAAGGTTCTCGCCTTTAAATACTACGGAGATGAAATTGCAAAAATACTCCACACTTGGCAGACAAGCGGCATTTACGCATTAAAAACCCGTGAAGAAATATTAATGTGGACACGTGCTCAAACCATTTTCGGTTGGATTACACTTATTTATGTGGGAGGCAGCCTTTTAATGGTTTCCATGCAATTTATATCTGTCTTTGCTGAAGATTCCAAAGAATTGCCTTTCTATTATTGGGTACCGTTCGATTGGCATAGTCCACGTAAATACTGGTATGCTTATTTTTACGAGATGATAGCGATGCCAATTACGTGTCTCTCAAACACAACACTGGATATGGCTTTCTGTTACTTGATGTTTCATCTATCACTATGCTTTAGAGTTGTGGGGCTACGACTTGCTCAGTTAGGAAAATATGGAAATGATAATGAAGGAGATTTTGCTGAATTTAAACGTGTTGTTGTACTTCATCGAAATGTGAAGAGGTTAAGAATTTCAAAGTTTAATATAGAATTTTTTAAATAATTATGTTTATAGATATGTTAAAAGATGTGAAGATATAGTCTGCTATCCCATTTTAGTACAAATAATTATTACTGCATTTGTGCTCTGCTTTACTGTTTATCGCCTACAGAATGTAAGTCAGATAGAATAAAGGAATATATTTTGTTTTCCCTCAATCTTATCTTAACCTTATGTTGGTATCCTTTACAGGCTAGCATTGTGGAGAATCCTGGAGGTTTTTTTAGTATTATACAATATGCTTTCGTTATGACTATGCAAATCTTTCTGCCGTGCTATTATGGCAATGAGATCTCCTGGAACTCTCAGAAACTAGTCAAATGCCTATACCAATCTAATTGGAAGGACTTGCCACAAAAGCATAAGCGTTGTGTTTTGATTTACATGCAATACCTACAGAAACCTACCGTAATACGTGCTGGAAGCTTTTTCTTAATAGGCTTACCAGTGTTCTTGAAAGTACATAACTCTAGAATATACTTATTTATATGAAGAATCATATTTCTGTTTACTTACAGACCATCAACAATGCATACAGTTTATGTGCTGTTATACTCAATATGGAAAAGTAACAAATTCGTACCTTAACTATTTCACACTCATATTTACTAAATGATTTAAAGAAGTAATTATTGTTTGTTTGGTATAAATGTTTGCACAAATGATCTTTTAAATTGAAAGCACCATATAATAAATTATAATGTATATATATATATATATATATATTAATTATATTATATTATAGTTATATTCTATTATATGTTATTATTATATATAAATTGTGTTTAAAATAATTGTGTTTAATCCTTTAAAGATTTGGAGAAAGTAGCTATAGTCACTAGTCACTAGTTGAACTCAGTGTACTGGTATTGCAAGACTGGAGTTCTGTCACCATCATGACCAGTTCTTTGGCTACAAGTCCATGCCTTCAGTATATTATCAACGTGTTATTCATTTCTGAAAATGACATTCAACCTCTCAAACATGAGAGGAGGTATAGCACCATTGCATTAAGAACTATTTTAGCCAATTTTTGGACTAGAGTAACTCATTAAATTCAATTCGCCAACAAATAGCAGTTTTCGCCTTATTTGTCGGTATATAAGTCAATATCAGGTGGAATGTATTCATGCAAGAATTTTTTGATTAAACTTCAATGTATGGCATTTCTCAACCACACGCTCCATGGAGTCACCTTCTTCTTTGCGGTACTTGAAATTATTTTGCAAATAATTTCCAATTCGTTTAGGTGATTGCTTAACCTACAATGTCCTGCCAGAATTCCTATAATACTTCTTAAGTTGGTATTTATGAAGTTTAAACAATTCTTATATCAACTAAAGATGTATATGAATGTGCTATAATGATATGATATAATATGAGTGTGCTATAAATATATCTACTGTTATCAACGCTGGGGGTTATAGATTTCAATTAATGTTAAAAATTTTTTTAGTATTAAACACATTTTTTAATACTCTAGAAATATATCACCAATTTCAGTCCATTCAGTCACCATAATCCAGCCTCTTTAGATCTGTAGCATCTAAGTGAGTTCGTCAAATATGTTGACCGCCACATTACATTAATATAACATAGCCTAGGCGAAGATTTAAGCTGTGTAAAATATATTACATACTTTCCACCATAAGATATATATTCGGGTTCCAAAGTATGCTATAAATAATCACCTAAGTAACTATTCCCGTCCCCTTTTTTGAGTACCTTAGTCTTTTTTTCCTTCAACCTACATTGCGTATATTTATAAAAGAAAATTTTTATAAAAAATATATATGTATTTCACAGTTTATTTTTAGAAACCTGTATTTATGAACATAAAATTGGTTCATACTCTGCATGGAGCATTGCTTATCAGTAGTCTCGAATAACATGGCTTAATTTCTTTAATAATAATGCATATTAAAAATTTTTGCTAAGAAATTGCACACATTCCAATTCTAAAAATCGCACTTAATTTACAATGCTGTTCATTTCAACACTAGTTTAAATTAATTTGCATAGCAATATACAAAATTTATATACTTAATAGCAATTGTAAACCCGATGAAAGTGACTTGGCTCTAACCCAATGAAACCGGAAATATCTGCCAACAGTTTCAGAAAGAAATTTCCAGATAGGAAATTGTTGCGTGTCGTCGACGTATTAAGGACGCCTTCACGTATACGCAATTTACTAATTCCGCTTCAATTTCTTGGCATGAACATTGAAAATTATCAACATAGCACACTTCGTCTATTATCCTTTCTTCAACACTAAGCTTGAGTTTATGGGCGCTACTGATGAGGGGTGTAATACGCTTAATTATTACATTTATTTTTTTTCTCACAAAGTCTTACATTAGCATTTCATTTAAACAAATTAAATAAATTGCAAGCTATAAACCTAGAAAGTCACGTCTCCTACTATTATTTGAATGAGTTTAGCGACGAAAGGATACCCTGTTGTTTCTTCTACATCTTATAGGTTATGTTTCTTGGTTTTTTTTTTGGACTCTAACTGCTATTGTTGACTGTTTTTTTTTGTGTTAAGTGCTAAATAATTATAATTGCATTGCTTAAAAAAATTTATTAATGAAGGGTTTTTTCATCTTGAGTTTGTTCCAATTTATGGTGGACACGAAATAGCTTAATTCAGTAATGGTTATAGCAAAATATTATAACCATTCAAAAATATTCACTTTTGAATATTTAAAGAAACATTGACTTAATGCATTTCAACTTGTATAAAAGAAGGCAGAACTGTTAATTTAAATCAGAGCATAAAAAAAATTACTCTGGAACTACAAATGTAGGCCGTTTTCTGTAGTTAAATGTTTTTTTAAAGTAGCTATACGAGGGCTGCCTTTTAAGTCTTACGCCTAACATTGAAAACACAATGATTAATCCGTGAAAATGGTTTTATTGCTTTTCGAAGTATATTCTGAGATGATCAATCCATTTTCGCGTAGTTACGTAGGCTAGAAAAAGACGTTTGATTATTACAACTAGTACGCATATACGAACAAACAGTTAAAGTTAATTTAATTTAAGAAAAACTAAAAGCAACATATATTATAAATACCTAGCTGTAAATATGTAAATATGTAAATATGTAATATATACAGCTTGCTATGACCACGTAACGCTGAAACTGTTATTAGCTGTCCACGTTGAACAGTCCTTTGCAGAAGAGCGATGTTGACATTATGTGTCAATCGCTCTTTGTGAGCTTCATTCCAGCTCACGATAAAGGTCACAATTTTGAACAAAGAATGGTGTATTTACTATATGTCGCAAAACTTTATTTTGAAATAGTTGAAATAGAACAAGAGGACTAACTTATATTGTTTAATTTGAAGTTGATCTCTTCTCTTCTTCTCTTAACGTGGACCTTCCAACGCAGCTTTGACTCCAGTTTGGAAGGCGAACGTACTTCCTACATAACACCAGCCGTATTCCCTGGGATCTTGGCACTATCAGACCTAACGTACAGTGTAACCATTCGGAAACGAATCACATCACCTTAAAGTCATGACACAAAACTGAGCTAAACGCCTAATATATTATTATGCCAAGCATAGTAAACAGCCCTCATATAACGACAGAGATGTGCCGCATTAAGATATATGGAAGAGATCTAAGATCTAGTCGAGATTTATTATGTAAAAACCTGATGTATCGATCTTAGATCTCTGTCAGTTACAGAACAACATCTTAAAAATAAACTAAATCTTTATTAAAAGTTACGATTGATCTTAAACCTTTCGAGTTTTAACCGGCAGTCAATGGACCAATAACTCTAAACTAAATCATGTGGTCGCTGTCAAATTACAACTTTACCAATCATATATGTACAAAAATTTGTTAGTCTATAAATGTTTAATACTTAACAAATCTATTCTATTTTAAATACTTCGACCTTTAACGTTGTAAGTCTTACAAATTTAAGGTTTAGGTGTTTTAAAAGTGAGAAGTAGACTTACAATCCCATTTGGTTTCTCAATTAATTTCTGTGTTGTTACTTTAGCCAATAATTACAGGACTAAAGTATAGGTCCTAATTACAAGGAAGTTGCAGATCATTAACCAGGTGTAATGTTATTTTAAAGGTTCTAGAACCACATTTTGTGTAATTATAAATCGTTTTAGTATTCTCAATTAAGTTCGAGGTATGCTTTCATTAAACAAAATTTTGTCATCCGTTTTTTGACTGAATAAATCTTAAAAAAAGATAATGCTTGGTTTTAATTTATATTAGCCTAACACTATTTATATAAGTCTACAATTAACCAAAACCAATGTTGTAGAGAAACTATTTTAAATGAAACTTTATCATTTCATCTCTGACTTTGTATGTGAACACCAATTGCAAATAATCTGAAATAAATAAATCAAAAGCTACAATATTTACCACTTGAATTTCAGTCAAAAAAGTTATTTTAAGTGATTTTGCATTGCTTTATCTCCTTTTATGTTTACTGAAGGAGTTTGAAAACAACTATCCCGAAAGGATAAATATTTAGAGATTTCTTTGAAAATTTGAAATTAATGCTAAGTAAGAATTAATCTTAAAACAGCACAACTACGACTGATGGCAATAAATAACTTAAGTGATTCGAACGGAATCCTTAACTGATTTCATCTCCCTTTTGTATCCTGTAGCACACTTGCAAAAACCTGGTGAAAAGTGCAAGTATGCAAGGATTTGGAAGCATTTCCCTTAGCCTTTACAACATCCTTGAGTTCTTCTTATTGGCCACGTTTTACTTCCAAGTTGGGTTGTTTACATTTTGAATTTCTTTTCTTCCTTATTTATTTCAAAGATTCAATGTTAGCATTCCGTTTTGTTTACGATTATTTTGCTTTCTTGAAGCTATTTTGAATGCATTTTGAATGCGTTGTAAACCTTTCAACGTTCACAATGGAGAAGTTTTGCAAATTATTTAACAAAATTTTAAGTTATCTTATCGGTTTTATTCTCAGTTGAATTTTCCAAACATCCTTAGTCAAATCTTCAAAATAGATCAAAAGCACCACAGTGTGAAATTTAAACCCACAAAAACTGTCTCTCAAAAATAAATGAAGAAGATTTCGACAACATTGTGGAAACTTCATTCCAGTAATTAGAAGGGGATATAAAAATATGAGGTGAAACATGAAAACATGAACGTGGCGCAGGTAGATGAGGTGTATGCGGAGATGGCTAAGTTATAGCGCTAGTACGGGGGGAGGACTAGTGGCAGAGCTTGAGTTCAGGGTCACGAGAGCTACGGTTGTATAGTAGGATGATAGGGCTATCAAAATTCTTCTCATTGAAGTATGGTGCTACGTATTGGAGAGGTTTGTAGCCCATAGTTTGGATGATATCTGAAGGGTCGGTGCTGTGGGTATCAGGGGAGAGGATTGTGCAGCCGGATGGGGTATAATCGGGTGAGTGTCACAAGGTACTCGTCGACTCGACTGACTATGGCTGTGTCGTAAAGAACAGTGTCGCGGAAGTACATGCTATCAGGCTTATTTTAAATCAGAATCACGAGAGCTACGGTTGTATAGTGCGATGATTGGGCTATCAA